GACTAATATTCTCAGAAGGAAATGAATAGTACGCATAAAATATTTATGATCATTTCGTACATTGTAACTATATCTATGTAGAAGCCAAAATAAATATCAACTGTTCCAGCTATACAATATGCAGTGCCTGATGTGTTTATTGCCACATTTTCTATGACCAGTCTCCTGTCTGTTGTGTTTCTCCAGTGACTGTGTTGTTCCAGGGAAATGAGTAACACAAGGGGAGGAGGGTGCATAATGGCTTCTGCACTGTAGGGGGTTGTCTGAACTAACACCTGGATCATGCTGTACACCTCTTGAGTCTGGGTTGAATCTGTGTTCGTGTACTATGCAGAAAACATGTAGAGGGTGAGCTGCTCAGGTTTCTTTGAAACAAATCAGTGTCTGTCACAGGCACTTCACACTTTTCAGTTCAGAGCTTTGAGGATCAATGAAATGCTGAAAATAAAAAGATCAGTCTTCTCCTAAGGAGTTCCAAAGCCCAAATGGTTCTGGTTTTATCTGTGTTATTTTGCAAGAACTGTTCACTAGATTTCATTCTTTTTCTTCCTATGCAGTGAATAGATGAAGTATGGAAACCCTTGCAGATATAAGGAGACCTATAATCCTGTGCTGCTGAAATCTCAAGCTTTCACATTTTGCCAGATGGATTGTTACAATTACAGCACATTTTAAACAGTGTCACAGTGTTCTCAAGCCATGTATGATTATTGATACGAGACCTGTGTGAATGATGGAATAGAGCAACAAAGAACAAAGGAACTGAAAATAGCCACTAGTCACCAAAGTGTTTGCATTGAAGAGATGTGTGTGAAGATTGCCAGTTTGAAATTCCAAGTGTGAATCTTGTAGAGGGAAAGGCAATGTAATCCATAATGGGAAACAATTTAAAGACAGAAGATATTATTTGGGAAAGGGAAAATGCTTTACTGAGGAGGGTCAGTTTGAGGGTCAGCATTTTCTGTCATTTTATTCTCTCCATGGGCTCAGTTACTGAGCAGAATGTTTTACATAATAGAATTCTGGACTCCCTTCCCGATTGTTGATATTCCACTTGTGTATGCTCAGAGCATGTCAATGATGACAGCTGGTTATTTCTTCAACACACAGATTTTGATTATGTCTTGTTTTATGGTTAGTATTTGGTTTTCATAGGGAATGTTTTCCCACCCAGAAGACAACAAATGTTGGATTGACCCAGTAATTGTTCTTTCCTATATTTCCTTTGGGCTCTTGTTCAGCTAGTTGGATCTGAGTTGTTTTAAGCATAATTAGGCCATCATAAATCACTCTGGGTTGGTTTGCATGTGACATCACCAAGGAGACCCAATGGGACGATTAGAGTATTTTTTCGGACAGTGTATCTGTAACTATTTTAACTACTTTATCATGGAAATAAAGTTTGTAAACAGTAGTCTTTGCAGAGTGACAAGTTAAGATATATTGCACCCTGATAGAGCTGTTTACTAAATTAGATTTTCATAGTACTAATTGAATTTGTCACAAAGCTGATGAACATTAGCTAAAGAAAGGGCAATATATTTTATTTTATTGAGCACATCTCAGAGTGCTTGTAATTTGGTAGGGCCACCACACTTTCTGGGCAGGCTATCAAGTAGGATGTTGTAATGATTTGCATGACTACTATAGTAGATGGAAAAATGTAGCTTGTGTTTGTAGTTGTTCCATTAGTGTCTTGCACAGTGTGCAGTCCTTTGGTGCTCTTCAGAGAGCTGTGTCATAATCCCTGCATCTTTTGAAGAATTTGGTCTGGTGAAATCAAGTTACTATACATTGTTTAAAACCTGGTGTGTACTTATATGATGAGACAAAGGAAAGATTGAGAAAGGCAGATAACCAATAGAATCCTGAAGTTATCAAAACACAGCTCTTGCCAAGGACCTTGGAATTCATCTGATTCAGTTGCTGGAAAAATGCCTGAATTAAAAATTATCCTACGAGGACCAAGAAAATAGAGCCAAATTCTGGCACTCTACAGTTTTCTCCCAAAATGGTCATTAATGCTGCAAAAACAGAATAGGGTGAACAACCCTTGGCCCCATGCTTGGCCCCCTACTGTAGGGTCTATCTGCCAAAATAAGAATGAATAGAGGATCAAAAATGGGGAGAGGGGGAGAAGGTTGGAAAAAGAGAGCTTGGAAAAGGAGGGTGGTTGGAAAGAGAAAAACTCATAGGCTATGCCCCCTGCCAGCACTGAAATACTTGGTTGCAGCTCCACTCACAAAGCACCTGTTGGCAGCTGCTGGAGCAGTTTATAGACTTTGGGACAGTTCCCTTATGTGAAATGTGATATCATCTTATTTTAGTAAAATAGAAGCAATTAATGGACAATAATTACAATAATTACACTAATAAATATATCTGCACAGAAGTAATGATGATAGTTTTTCCTTTCATTGAAAAAACTGCATTCTTTTTAATGAATCTCATTACCACTAATATTAATATCCTTTGGCTGATATCACCTATGTTGTCTTCCTTTTATCCAAAATTGAAAAAAAACCCATATGTTGCATGGAGTGAAAAGAAAGCACAGGAAAACAATGATCATAAATATTAACCTGATACTGTTTTTCAAGCTCAGCGGCAGAAAAGTAAGGATAGGAGCTATCTGGCAAATTTTATGTTTTTCAATCTTTATGCATTAAAGTATGATGATAGAAAATAATGAAAATTGTTTCTGTTAAATTAGAACTCAGAGCAAGTATTTTTTGTTAGGAACTCCATTTAAACATTTTAACATCACAAATTTTAATGCCAATTCCTATTAAAAACATTTAATGAAGAGTTTTAGCATTATAATCTAAAATCTCCTTCAGTTACTATCTCCAAAAGTTACTTCTGTTCATGTGCAAAAACTTTTGCTGTTCTTTTTCATTTTATAAATAGCTTATTATTCCTTGGGATAACTATCTAACGGTTATCAATAATATATGTATTCAATATGTAAAGTGTATCAAGCAGAAGATAAATCATTATTTTTAAATGTAGGTATTTAATATAGGCTGAGCTAAAATCTATATTGCATTTATTGGCTTCATCTCCTTTGGCTATAATGAGAATCCTCCTTCTGCTAATTCTCTGCTTCAGTTTAAAAAGCTTACTTAGTAAATATCTGTGTTACTCAGAAGGTTTGCATAAAGTTGAAATAAAAATTAGGTAATGTTTTGAAATTTAATGTTGTCTGATATAAACTTTAAGCCACATCCCCAGTTTTCCTGTTCTACCTGAAACACTAAACTTATTGGTTCTAAAATAATCAAAATGTGAAACTTCAAATCTCCTTCAGATTATATTCAATAAAAGAAGCTCAGGTTTCTGATACTGATTACATACTGCAGCATGTGGCACTCAGGCGGAGCCTGGTTCCTGCATGAAGCTCACCAAGAGCTTTTCTCCATCAAGTCTGTTAAAGAATAGGGCCAAAATGGAAATTCCATTAGTTCAATAGTTTTTTGTGTGCAATATTTCAAAATGTGATTTTCTCCTTGTGTTAATTTCAATACTTTTCTTAGAAAAAGAAAGTAGTTGAGTAGCCTAGCATGTAACAAACTGTATTAGAGGCTGCTAACTTTAGTAACACCTAAGCTCAGATGTGGTGGGTGCCATTAAAGGAAGAGGACAGGATGTGGAACTTCAGACAGTGACATCTGAAATAGGAGAGCATCTAGTGGAGCACAAGCATGTGCTTAATCTCAGTGGGACTGTATGTTATACATAAAGAAAGGAATTTTCAGGTATTTTAACTTGAAGAAGAATGCTTTCCTGAATCAAGAATTTTAAAAACTGAGCTCCAGATCACCAAAAAACACATTCTTTATTACAAAATCTTTGTAATTATTTTTGCAATAATCATAAACAAGTGCATTCAAACATTGTAATAAGTATAGTCTTCACAACCTGTTTCTTCATGATGTAGCATTGAATTATTACAGTGGGTAAAAAGCATGAGTGGACATTTAAGGGTCCTAATAACCAGGGAACATAAATTTCAAAGACATTGTGATTGTTATCTAGGACATTTATGTATATATTTTCTTGGCATTTCAAAGTCCTGTAAGATTTGTGTAGTAGATTTTATTATGTCTGCATATTTACTGATCTCTAAAATATACTTTCATAGCGATCCTGATAAATACATCTTTTTACTCTTTGTTTGCTCTTTGGAATGAGGCTGATATGCCAAATGGAAAGTAGAGTAGGCAAACCTAGAAATTTAACTAGAAAGTTCTCCCTGGGTTATGTATGGGCTTTACATCAGGTGTCAGGTGGATGGGAAGAATAATAGAGCCAACTTTGAAGGTGGTGTTGACAGGTGCATTTGGGATCTCCCAGATCTTTTACCTTGGCATTGGCCCTTGAGGTTCACACTCACTTCGGGGATGTGGGAAGTCACATTCATCATGGGAACTAGGTGCTAATGATGAGCAGAGGAGGAGGAAGGGGAAAAGCCAGCACTACACATCAGCATCAGCACAGGGCAGGATAGCACAAAGAACCAGTGAGGCTGCAGCTCAGATACTCAGGAATAAGCTGTCATCTTTACATCAAGTTCATCTGAGCCACCAGTGCAGTCCTGCAGCGTCCTTAGGAATTATATGACAAAGAAGCAAGTGCCAACCTGAAGTCCCTTCCTTTGCTACACTCAACAAGACTTAATGTGTTTATTTATGATGCCAATCAAATGTTCCCACTGTTCTTAAGTCAGAAAACTGAGCAAAAACTATGATTAAATTGATTGCATAGCTGAAGTCCTTATCCCACTTTAATGAACAATTAGCTCTGTTTACTGTTGAAAACCCCAGTGGTTTCTGCACACTACAGAAGAGCATGTTTAGTATATGGGGTGTACAAGTACTGTGTCATCAATGATATGTGTAGGTTTTTACCTTGCTTTTCAAAATTAAAAAACTTGGAGTCAATGAAAATTACTGTTTGTACAAATGTTTATTAGGCCTTTCTTTGTTATTCTTTTATAGGTCTTGTAGAAATTTGCCTGATGCATCCCCTTGATGTAGTGAAAACAAGGTAAGATCATGCTTGAACAGGTTTTGTTGACACTGGAAGATATCCAAATTACAAGCTGTCAAAAACTAAAATCCTAGAACTTCTCCCAGTAAGATAACTTGTGCCTCTAATGACGTTTATATTTACTTACCTGTATTTACAGCATTTGACATATGGAATTTGAGTAGCATGGCACATTTCTCATTAGAGGTCATCTAAAGGTGTTAAATCTGCTTATGACATGTATTTTTACTCTTGTAACCCAATGCTATGACATGAAGATGGCTAAAGTTAAATTCACTTAGTATAGGTAATATCTACAGTAATGCTTTTATATGTAATTAGAAAATACCATATTGCCTCCAAAATAATTTTCACAGGATTTAATAAAAATAATAAGAGATGTTCCATATTCTCTTTACAAGCTAAATAACTTCATGATTTTATATTTTTAAAATATTTTTATCTGTCTGTATTTTGTTTTCTGAATATTTGCTCTTGTATGAGTATAAATGTTGTTGAATGACCTTGAAAATTTGCTCATTAGTTTGGTTTTTTCCTGATGTTGGTCACTGAAATGAAAAAAGAATAGCTTTGTTTCTAGTTTCTGGAACACCATTTTATTTTCTGTGCTTTTTAGTTTTTATATAAATTTACAAGTAAGTGTTACTGTACATGAAAAGCAAACCAGAATGGAGAAGCATACGAATGGAGCAAACCAGAATGGAGAAGGAGAAAACTATTTATGCCACATGTGTTGTGCAGTGCCAATAATTGCCATATACTGTTCCTGGAGCTCTATCTAGGTCACAGACATGTAGGTAGAAAAACTTCACTAGGAGACTAATTAGCCCCAAACAAATGATGAGGACAGCTGTGGTCTCTGGAATATGCTTGAAGTTCTCAATTATGACTTCTAGTTTCAGTTAGCCAACGTGAGCTTTTTGTGGGTGCATTTTTGGCTCCTGTTTAAATCACATTCTGTGATTTGCCAAAGACCTTGAGATGCATTTTTTTGCAGGTTGCATTTTTACAGTAGGAAGTCTTCAGTCTGTGTTCATTGCCTAACACCAGGAGACATTTATTCAGGCTCCAGCTGCATTAACTCTGCTGGGGAGCAGCAGATCCTCCTCAGGGTGTGGAGTTTGCTCAGGCAATCCCTCTGTATCCCTTCATAACGTGGATGTGTTGGTTGATGTAGAGACAATGCACCTGGTGGTTCTGAGGGTCCTCTCTGCCCTTCCAAGTACTACTGAAAAAATGCTATTAGAACAAGGCTTTCATAAGATTGAAATTAAAGGCTCAAAAGCAACAGGGTACAAGCAAAACAAATACAAGACCAAATTTAAAAGGGAAAAAATCTGTCTTGCTCTTCTGTCAAGTGGTCCCCAAAGGATGTGCTTTAGTGATTTTGTTTGGGCAGTTTGTGCTATAACTCTCCTATAGCTTTCAAGCTTTGGTTTTAGTTCTTCCTCTTTTTCTCTTTGTACTGAACTAGAAATTGTGGGTTTTTATATTAAGAATGTAGATCATTCATAATTTAGTGTAAGCTGCATATCATGTGTCAGAAAATGCATTAATTGCACATCTGTACTGGCAGTCAACAGACATACTTTCAGTTTTCTGGTAGGAACCACCAGTGGACTCTCAGAACAAAAGGACAGATTTTCCCATGTCTCTTTGAGATTTTTCTGAGTTTTACAAGCTTTTAGTAGTGAAAAGGCTTCTCAGATCCGACATCCAGAAATGTAAAGCATTAAAGAGTGTGGGGGGATGTTTGTGAGGCTGTAACAATCCTTAAAAACAAAATAAAAAGTAATAAAAATTAGGAAACCTGTGTATGAAATGTGAGTCCATAAACAGTGGAATTTTTAGAAGAAACAAAGAAGTAGGAAAAAGGGAAAGCACAGTAGCTGTGCAGAAGAAATCAGATTATCTATCAAAGTAAAACTGAGGGGCTGAATCAAACAAATCAATTAAACAAATTTCTTCATTTGAAGGAACTTCCATTAACTCCTCCACTGAGTTAGCTGCAACACTTTGCAGAAGTGGGCTGCACCCGAGTGATAGTTTTTCTAGTTTGTTGATGTGGATGTATTGAGAGATATTATGCAGATTTTGCAATAACTTTTCTGCAGATCTCAGCAGATGGTAGTAGTTGAAAATACTTACATTTTGAAAGCAAATGACAAAACCAAGAATAGAATGTCCTTTGATCTCATCCATCATTTTGTTCTATGTTCCTAACATCATGCTTCTTCCTTTCATTTTGTAATGGTCTAAATTTACTATGGCAGATTAATTCTTTGATGGCCTTGAAAGTTCAATTGAAACATTGGTTTTAATTCTGAACTTTGGACATAGAATGTTTTCTAATAGTTTTTCATTGACTTTATTCCTTTCTTGCAGTGCCTCTAAGTACTGTTGTGTACTTAATCTTTCCCAACATGGTATTGATAATCCACCGTTTCCTAATCACTTCCAGCTATTACACTTTTGGTGATTTAGGTGGTTTAGGATTTTCTTTCTTTTGGTTAGGTGAAAGGATGTATGAAAACATCATTTTTTGCTTAATTTTTATGGTATTTTGAGTTTCCTACTTTTTTTTCTAGAAGTGTGTTTGGTGCAAGGAGTCCTGTGGCCATTTCAAATTATTGTGATCTCATTGATCTAAATTTCTGTTCTGAGGGAGTTTAGGAAGGATGTCAGAGGCTCACATCTAGTAGATTGGTGGCTTAGTGCTCCATTGATATTTTGTGTATGTGTATGTTTTTAATAAAAAAAAATTGGAGAAAATAAAGTTTCTGTCAAAGATTATTTTGAAACCCTGGAAAATGGTTTGGCTCCTTTATGACATTTTGCAATGTCTTTTCTCTGTTTAGCAAGTTTCTATTATTCTACAGCAACAATGCTAGATTTGTTTATCTGCTCACATCAAGGGAGGAACAGTATATAAGTACATGCTTACAAACATAGAGGGTCCAAATGCTTAATGAAGTGTTTTTTCCTAAGCGTACATATGAAAATAATTTTATTTTTTCTCTGCTAGAACACCAAAGATCACTAAGAAATTCCTGTTGGCTAGATAGAGGAAGATAACTATGATCCATTGTTTTAGCTTTATGAATCCCATTTATTCTTTGAAATGAAGCTCTTTTCTCATTTGCAAGATTGAGATATTATTAAGAAAAGATGTGCTGAATTTTTAAGTTTTAGCTATTTTATATATCAGTTATCCTTATGATTAACTTAGCCATTAAATAAAATACTGAACCTCTGCTCTTGTCCTCCTAAATACAAAGTCTGTTAAGTTTTTGTGTGTGGCCATGTATGAGAAGTGACAGCAGCAGCAAGAGTTTTTCAGTACAGATACAGCCAAGACATAGAAAGTCTATTTTTTAATTAAGAACTCTCAATGATCTTTCTTTGCTAGAAAGTGAGGGAGGAGAAATGCATCTTAGCCTGGATAAAGAGCTGGGTTTGCTTACTTTGCGCCTTTTTTGTGTCTTAAGCGTAATGCAGGCTGTAATGCTGTTTTCATCCATGAGACTTTCAAAGAATGACAAAATGTCATACTAGGTCATGGTACATAGGTCAAGATATTGCCATATATACTACTTTAAAATTAAAAATAGTAAAGTGCTTTTCGAGGTAGAGTTTATACTTTGCATTCTGGTGTCATATATTTTGGCTCAATCAAATATGCAAAATTCAGAACTTAACATTTTATTGTTGGAAAAATTAGCATTTATGCAGAAGCTCACAGGTGCATAGTTGGTGAGGGAAAGGGAGAGTAGCAGGAAGCTGTATAAAGTCAAAGGAAAGCTATTGTATTTGAGGAATCAGTCAAGCAAGCCTGACTGCTAACTGGAGGATGCTACTGTGATCTGACAGTTCCAGTTTACGTTCTAAGGTAATCTGATTTCTCAGGGGGAAAAAAAGCCCCAAGCAGTTTCTTTTTTTCATTTCCCTAGTACTGGGTTACTGGCATAAAAATGATGTTTTCAGGAGCTCCATGACTTTGAACTAAATGCACTAACATAGAATTTTCCTTGCTCTTGCAATTTAACACCTCAAAAAATGCATGCAACCATTGGTCATGTTAGAAAATCAGAACTACAAGTAGAAATACAATTTCAGCTAATATTTCCCTAGGTTTATAAATTGATTCCCTTTTTATGTGCTATCGTTCTTTTTTTTTTTTCTTTGATTATCACCAATATTTATGCAGCAAAATTTTAGTGAGTACACTCTTCCTGAAAACAGACTGTGAAACATATATTGGTGTAGAAATAATAATTTTGGATGTGACTTGGTATTATGTAGTTAGGAAACCTACTGGGTAATTTTTTTTAACAGTTGTCTACATGACAGAATTTAATAGAAAACACAAATGAAGAAATATATGACTAAGTGTTTTCAAATAAAAGATAAAAAATAACAACACATCAAAAACTTTCCAATGCATAACATTTGAAAAACAAATACATCTGAAATTGTTGAATTGTCTGAATATGTTTTGAATAAACAGGAAAAGTGTTAGGGGAATTATGAATTTTTTACTTCTCTATTCCATTTTAGGTTTAATTTGATATCACTATACACTTTGAGATAAATATTTGAAAGAAAGATGGTTTCTCTCACATCTCAATAATACCGATTTGTCCTCCAGATCTGTGTTGACTTCAGTTCAGATGGATGAATTCATACCACTGGAGTATTTAGTATTTATTTATGTCTTTTACTTCCAGACAATGTATTCAAAGAGAGGTGGATGTTATGCCAAATACCATATAAAAGACTTGGAGAAAGTCTAGTTTATTATTTTAACAGTAGTATCATCAGGGTAACTTTTGTCCTAACAATTGAAACATATATTCAGTAGGCAGTTTTTAATATTTCTCTAGTCAACTTAAATAGACAGTTCCATTTGATTTTTTTCTCCATATTTAAACAGTCTTTTCTATTTTTCTAAATAGTTGTGCCTTCACAACTCATTCTCACATGGGGATGAGTGGGCA